TGGGTGAATGCCCACTTCGTCGGATGCATCCGACGAAGTGGGCATTCACCCACGAAAGCCTATGCTCCAATACATCTGTTAGTCTTAAAGGTCCACAGGACCCTCTGTTGCTTTTTACTTTTTCATTGTCTGTGTTGTTGACATATTTGCTGACAAGTATCTTGAAATAAATTACTGAAATAATTGAAACTGGTGTGATTATATTGGGTCATTTTGACAAATAAAATATGCAGAATTTTGCATAATTTTAAAATATTGTGCCCAGAATTTTTAATTTCTTTGGTGCAGTATTCCCCCAGGAGCAGTAACTGGAGACAAACCCTTAAGCTATTTTTAAGGGTATGTCTACACTGCAGACGGCAGGGTGCTTCCAAGCATAGGTAGAGAGCTATGCACTAGCTCTAGTGCTCTAAGAACAGCAGTGTAGTCATGGCGGGATGGGCAGCGGTTTGGGCTAGCTACCCCAGTACATTGACGCCTGATCCCCTGGATATGTAATTGGATGGCTAGCCTGACCTGCATCCTGTGCTGCCACTACTACATTGCTATTTTTAGTGTGCTGGCTAGAGCAGAACTAGTGCTTGTCTATCCACCTGTGTTGAGAAGCACCCTCCCAGCTGCAGTGGAGACATACCCTAACTGTAGAAGAGGTTCTTCGAGCTCATAATTCTCATTGACTACAGCTGGCATGAGTACTGAACATGTCTGAAGAAAGCAAACCCAAGATATCACAAGTTGATTACCTAAAAACTGAGGCACTTAAAAAAAAATCAGAACTATGGTCAATTTTTCAGACATAACTTATCAAGGGATTCCAGTGGTACAAACAAGAAGCAACAGCAGAAACCTATACATGAACGCCGTCTAATCAAAACTGACTTTGCTCTCTTTCTGTCATTTTGGTATATATTACCTATGCTTGTGCTGTATTTTCTTCCTAGTTAAAGCAGAAGGGAGTGTAAATGTCCATGGAGACTCAGCATTTTCATTTTCTTTATATTTGCGGTGTGTATTTTCAGATTGGAAAGTACGATGGACAACATTGGATACATGTGCAACTCCATTTGAAATCAATGGGAATGTGGGAAGATTTGATAATTTCTTTCATTATTCAAAGCAGTTCCTGTTTCTCTCAAGTGACTTCTGCCTTCCAAGAACATAACTTTTAAAAATTGTAATTAGGGCTGTTGATTAATCGCAGTTCACTCGCAATTTACTCAAAAAAAGTATCATGATTAAAAAAATTAATTGCAATTAATCACAGTTTTAATTACACTGTTAAACAACTGAATACCAATTGAAATTTATTAAATATTTTTGGATGTTTTTCTACATTTTCAAAAATATTGATTTCAATTATAACATAGTATACACAGTTGACAGGGCTCACTTTATATTATTTTTTATTACAAATATTTGTGCTGCTTTGAATGAAGTGTGGTAATTGAAATCAATATATTTGAAAATGTAGAAAATATCCAAAAATATTTAAATAAATAGTATTCTATTATTAACAGTGCAATTAAGCATGATTAATTTTTTTAACCATGTGATTAATTGCAATTAATTTTTTTAATCGCTTGACAGCCCTAATTGTAATTAAATCCCCAGTGAATGCAGAGCGAATTTCCCACACTCTACAACCAATTTATTACTGAGTTTCCAGAGTGACCAACTATGGATCAGGGACAGTAAAGCACAAGTCTGGAAGCAGAGATAAACATGCAGATGAATCCCTCTGAAGATTTAAGCTTTTTAAAGAAGTCCATCTTGAGCTGGATTTCTAGTTTGAACCACGAGTAACAATAAATGTGTAAATGTTTTGATGCTGAGAAATAAAAAAATAAAAAATCCCCATATATTGTTAATTTTGAACTTTTTTTTAAAGTTCTGGTGGTACTTGAATTCATTTCTATATTTATAGAAAAATAACACCTATATAATAACATTACAAGGAGAGTTACGAGTAACCCTTTTTCTAGGAATGAATTCAGTGGTGATGATTAAAATAAATTAAATTTGGGGACATAGCTAAATAGGAATAGGCCTGAGTTTGCCTGTGAACATTTGAGAAAACAAAAATAATAATATACCCGTGAACTCTTCATCCATAACTGTCAGTACATAGAGACCCAGACATCTGTAAAAAGAGAATGGAAAGTTGCCAGATGTAAATGGAGCAGCCCCATAAGTATATTTTAGCTTATTGGATTTTTATGTAGCAAAAATTCCACTGGAGAGAAAACAACACTAATCAGACAGCAAAAAATGGTGCATTAGAAGACAACTCATTAGCCAATTGGGACTCAAACAGTATTAGAAATCACTGGGAAGTGCCAAGGATGTGCCTACACTATTTGACATGTGATTAGCTACACAATTTAAATTCTATGGTCAAGTACTTATTTTTGTATGATTTAATACTTTAGTAAATAAACATGTTTGATCAGAGCTATTTACTAATTCAGATAATACACAATCAATCATTACACTATAATTAGCACACAGATTTGCACTGCAACAGTTTGATTCATAAAAATGCAGTTTGAAATCCCAGGATTAGCATAGATAAAATATTGTAAATTACAGACCAAATTTTGCAGTTTTCACCTGCAAACATTTTGAATTGCAATTTTTTAAATCCCTTCTGTTACTAAGATAACCACATGATAGGGTTTTTTGAAAAATAAACTTTTTAAAAAAAGTCATAAGAAAATGTCCTATTTTGAAGACAATTATAAATGAAAAATTTCAAAGTAAAAATAGATAACATTTTCAATAAAAACATTGCCCAGAAATAATTTTTTGGCCAAAAATATAAAAGGATTAGTTCTACCATTAACAAGGTATAGCACCAACAAACTCAGTAGAAATTAATTTCCCCTTTTTTCTTTATGTATGCACCGAAATAATTCTAGCACTTTGTAGATCATTGCTTGTTCTGTGCTGTTCATTAGGAAATTTAATGTAACCGCATATATATGCCCTGAAAAACAACATTTAATGAGGAAAGGTATACTAACAGCCTTGCTAGTGATCTGGTGATACTTGAATTCATTTCTATATTTAATAGAAAAATAGCACATACGTAGTGACATTACAAGGAGAGTTATGAGTAATCCTCCAGCCAAGAGCACATAACCTCCACAGACACAGGAGTGCAGACATTCCTGGCTGGGATTCCTGTCCTTTAACAGCCACACTTGATACTCCTAGATGGTCTGTTGACTGATCTCTTTGGATGGCATCATGCCAGATCACAGGCTTTTGCCCTGTTTGAATAAACATGCCATGATAAATTTAGATGTGTAGCCTGCAAGACAACACTGCTAGAGGCATATCTTCTTCCGGAAGTAAGTCTGTGCCAGCACTAAAGCATTAACACCACATGCCATTTTACACTTGACATCTGTGGACACAGAGTATGTGACAAAATGAACAGCACAACGAAAGAGGAAAGGAAGACATGCAGTTTATAGGCGTGGCTGGAGGCCAGTAGAAGGGATGAATTGCAGCTGGGGCCCAGGAAACCCATTAAGAATCCTTGAGGCATCTCTGTATTTAATATGAGAGCACTCTGACTTCAGACATTCTGTTTCAAGGCCAACACACGACAGGACATCACAATAACAAACAAGTCAAGCTGGCAAAGCATGACACAGACAAGTTGTTCACATACACCCCTCCTTGCCCACCAAAAAGGTGTCAGCCTGCAGAATATGACACAATCCATTTTGTGAGGAGCAATGTTAAAAGAGTACAGACAGTAATGCTATATGGGAAGTGCCCATAACTGTGTGGTGCACAGAAGGGAACAGTTCAGATGGCTCTTAGCCAGTCTGTCATCTGACTAGCTTGAATCATCCAGCAGAAAAATGAGATATCCACTGCCCTTAAATGCCCACTAGCAAAGCACAACCAATCTTTTAAGAACCATTTGCCCCTTCAAAGGTATCATTCCACCAGAATGTTTACTGACATTACTGCTTTTTCTTGCCATGCATCTCTCAGTCAATAAGACATAATTATACACTGTATGTATCACTGTGTGATAATTCCATACTAGATACTAATTTACAGGCATTGTATAAATCTACAGCCAGAATCACAAGCAATCAGGAGATACTCATCTTCTAATTACAGCTTATCCCAGGCCAGTCTTAAGCACAAACAAGTAACCACTTAGCGACCCATCGGATAGGTCAACACTGCAACTAAAAACCCACAGCTAGCCCGTGCCAACTGACTAGAGCTCTGGCTAAGGAGCTGTTTAACTGCAGTGTAGATGTTCAAGTCCAGGCTGCAGCCTGAGCTCTGGAACCCTCCCACCTCACAGATTCCTAGAGCCGGGCTCCAGCCCACTCCTCAGTGTTTGCATTGCAATTAAACAGCCCCTTAGCCCAAGCCTGAGTCAGCTGGCATGGGCCAGCCGCGAGTGTTTAATTGTAGTGTAGATATACCCGCAGTATCTAACTTCTGAATTCACGGGCTGGCTCTACTTTTCCCTCCAGCAGTGGAACAAAATAAGGACAACCATCAGATCCCCACTTCTAGTAACAGGGCCAGAAGGATAGGCAGCTCTTGGCCTGAATTCCCATCTTCGGGAGCTAGAGGGCCCACAAATTGTAAGGCAGAGAGAGTTATCGGAAGAGGGTTCCCACAGGTAAGAGTTATAATTCAAGTTATAGAACAATAAGTTTCAAGCTTTTTTACACTACAGTCACACCAGGAAACCTGGGCCTGCAATATGGTTCCACTTTGTAGTGTAAATGGGACATTAATTATTTCTCCAACTATGTTAAAGCTTTGGCTATCCAAGATAAACAAAGCCTTAGCCCGGTTTGGGGAAATAGTAATGGCCCATTCTACACTGCTAAATGATGTCACGTAGTAGCCAGGACCACCACTAGAGTTGCTGTGTTAAGTGTTCTAAAAGGCAGTCACAGAATCCAAGAATGGGGTAGAGGTGGGTTGCCGCATACTTTCTGGGCACTTTGGCAGAAATTAGGAAACTGAGGTAAGAATGGTTTCAGAGTGGCAGCCGTGTTAGTCTGTATCCGCAAAAAGAAGAACAGGAGGACTTGTGGCACCTTAGAGACT